ACCTGAGGCTCCAAAGGCCCCTAACAGAAACCCAGCCAGAGACCTCCCTGAGGTCTCCCGACGCCTCCTTGGAGCCATCCAGAACTCTTTTAAAAGCCTCTGGAGATACCCCGGACGCCTTCCTGCTCTTGCTTCTCCTTCGGGCTTCCGGCTGCGAACAGACTTGTCGGCCAAGCCTGATGCCCTCGCACCATTCAGCCCTGGCCAGAAACCTGGGAGAAGAGAAGAATACCAGGTAAGCGGTTGAGGAGGAAAGGAACGACCGAACCCCCGCCCCGATCTCCCCATACATCCGACGATGTGTTGTTTCAATGCGCGGCCCAGGCCCCTTCCCCAAAAATGTTTTCGCCCCGGACCCGTTTTAACCGATCTTGGATTTCAGAGGCCAAAACCGAGCACAACTGCCGGGACTGGGGATGAATCACCGACATAATCATGAACTTTCGAAGCTCCGCGCGGATCTTTTGGATCCACGCTGAGCCCCCCTGGCGGCGCCTCGTGCGCCGCCCCTGGCGCGCCTCGCGCGTCAGGGAGCGGGGTCTAGCGCCGATCGCAGGAATCCGCGCGAAGCTCCGACAGCGTAGGTTTACGCAGGTGTTTCTGCTTGGAGGGACTGCACAGGGGGGAAATCTCGGTTGGGGGTGTGCGTGTCGGAAACGAGTTCAATGCATCGCCCCGTGGGCCTGATGAACCTGGGGCGAGGCTGCCCGAGGATTGGCCGAGAAAAGGGTTTTGGGGGCGTACGTGGTGGGGCCATCACCCGTACGTGAAACAAACATCGCCAGAGATCCACACCCTGCGAAATGCTTAAGAAATCATGGGTTAAGAAATTCATAGTCTCAGAAATTGAATAAAGCCCAGAACTTCTATCAAAATCTTGGGATTTACATTGGAAAGTTAAGAATAATCGAGACTCTGGACGAAAACATAGGTTTTCTTAAGCATCGCCTAAGGTGCAGGCCTCGGAGGTGGAGGGCGTCCTGCGCAGCGCCGCTCACGAGACCCGCGGCGCGCACAGCATGCGGGGCCCTCGGGCCCAAACGCCTGCGAGAGCGAGCCACCGGCACGAGCCTGCCTGCGGCGCCGCGCGCGGCCTCCTCCCCCTTTTTCCTCCTGCTCCGCCTCCTCCTGATCCGCCTGCTCCTCCTGCTCTTCCTCCTGTTCCTGCTCCTGCTGCTGCTGCTGCTGCTCCTGCTGCTCCTGCTGCTGCTGCTGCTGCTGTTGCTGCTGCTCCTCCTCCTCCTCCTCCTCCTCCTCCTGCCAACTGCTAAGGAGTAGTTGCACGGAGCGACTCAAGGATGATTGGCGATGAGTTCCAACAGCAGAGCGAAACGAGTGTGCCACCGTTGAATGTTTGAGCCAAATGGCGTCGCTGACGACAACTGCTCGGCGATCTGTATCATTTCACTACTCACACAGTCGCAGAGCCATGTTCTACCACCACCTCCTCCTCCTCCTCCTCCTCATATTCCTCGTCCTGGAAGTCCTCCTTGTTCCCCCACGGACGGTATCAGCAGATGACGTGGCGTTCTCTCTCACACACGTTTGGCTCGCACTTGATTCCAGTGCGATCTCCGATCGCGCAGAATTTTGCGCGCTCATATGCACGGAACGTGGGAGAATGAACGGACGGAAGTATGGATTCGAGATTTGGGTGGAGTGGTGAATGACTCGGGATATCAGCACCTGGGAAGAGGAAGCGTGGCCTTGAGCCAAACAAGGTTACGGAGGGGACCCATCTTATCTCCAAGCCGCTCAAGTCCAAAGGGGAGGGGGCGAGAGGTGGCCCCTCGCCAGATCAATGAGCCGCAAGCGCTCATTCCCGCAGCGCCCTAGGAAATAATGGACTTGACACGGGAGAAGAGGGTCTTGCCCTCTCGCAACCTCCTGGCAGAAACTCGCGTCACCTCGCCAGAGCGGGCTCGGCAAAGTAGCGGCTGGTGTCTCGCTGTCCTGAACACTCGGTGACCGCTCGGGCCAACTGGTGTTCTCGCAAGGAGAATTGACCAGCATTCTGAGCATTGAAAAGGAAGAGCCCACCGCACAGTGACACGGCGCAGCCTTCGGCTGGGTCGAAAAGGGAAGAGCAAAAGGGAGAACAGGGTCAACGCAACTCTATTCGAGCTGCCTCTTCGACGCGGCTCGAGATCGACTCCGAGTAGCTGGGTCCTCTTTGCGGTTCTGAAGCGACTGATCCTCCGCTGTGAGCCGCAACACTCCTGCCTCTAATATGTGCAGCTGGGCCGCCTTTGTCTCAACCATATCCGACTTGGCGAGACAATCGACGGGCACGAGGGGGTGGGGCATCGACCTAATAGTCGATCCGATGCGACCCGTGGTGTCCCTGATCACGGCCAAATCTATGGCCGCCCCACGATCGGAGTTAGTACCCGATGACAGCTTGGACACAGTGTCGCATATCCCTTTGCACGTCGACAACGCTCGCGTTGTCAGCTGGCCGCGGAAGACCCCACACTTCGCGCTGATCTCTTACGGGGGCGACGAGAGGGCCCAAACTGTCCCGCCGGCGCTCGTGCACCGCATCTTCCCTGGCGACGTCCCGCAGGAGCATCTGAAGCCCCTCCGCCTCCCCGAGAGCGCTGGACGGAGCCAGGGCGCTCGCTCACCGCATCTTCCCTTGGCGACGCCCCGCAGGCGCATCCTGAAGCCGCTCCGCCTCCCCGAGAGCGCTGGACGGAGCCAGGGTCTCCCCGGCGGGAGCAGAGGCCACTCGGCGCCCGAGGTTGCCGGACCTCCCAGCGCTCGTTCACCGCACTTTCCTTGGCGACGTCCAGCAGGAGAATCCGAAGCCCCTCCGCCTCCCCGAAAGAGCGCTGGACGGAGCCGGGGCCTCCCCGGCGGGAGCACGAGGCCACCCGGCGCCCGAGGCTGCCGGACCTCCGCGCCCCGGACCCTGGCCCGCGCTCCCGCGGGCCAGAGAGTCCTCATAGAAGGCTTGCCAGGCTTCCGGAGGGCGCCGGGCCCCCCCCCCCCTTTAGGGCGACGAGATCTATGCACATCCACTGCTCCTGGCCAGGCCCATCCTGGGCCCAGGAGTGGTGTGTATGCCTCCCTGGCCAAGCCAGGAGGGCGTATACACAGCTCTTGGGCCCAGGATTGGCCTGGCCGGGAGCAAGGGATATGTATAGCTATCGTCGCCCTACCCGTGTCCTCGGCCCCCACGCCCCCGCCAGTCGCCAGCACCGGCCCCACGCTGGGCTCTGCTCTCGTCCCGTTCTTGCCTCTGCGGGTTGCAGGCGCTGCCCTGCCTGCTCGGCGTCCGACTTTTGTCCGTGCGCACCGCGGGCCAACGAGGCTTATTTTCTTGCGTGGACCTGAAAGCGCTTTCCTGTTCGCCCTCCTCCTCCTCCTCCTCCTCCTCCCCGATCCTCGTCTCCATCCATCAAATCATCCTCCTAAATCATGATTACCAACGCGCCGAACAAAAAACGGTGACGACAACGCCCAGGGCATACTTAGAACCAAGACCTCCTTCCCCGCGCTCCCCGCGTGGCCGTCGTCCTCGCCCGCGCGCCCGTGGTCTGTCGCCGGGTCCCCCTCCTTCTGATGACCTCCCCCCCTTCTTCTGCTGTCGTCCTCGGCCGCGTGCCCCTCGCGCTTCATGACCCAATCCGTTCCCCCTGCCCACGTCAAGGATGTTGCACCATCCCTGAGCGTTTTCTTCTCCTGCTGTGGAGCCTTCTTCTCCTCCTCTTGTTCCTTCTTTTCTTCCAGCTACCTCTTTTTGGTCCTGCATGCATCCTTGACTGGAACTGAGCTATTCGCCCCTTCTTTGCCGTTGCATGCTCTGATGCACCGGCCCAGAGCGACGTTGCCACATATCTTGCACTTCGTGGTTACGAGCATGGATGTCAGCGAAAGGCCAGTAACGCTGACCTGTGAAACAGCTTGAGAGGAACAGCAACAAGAAGCTCTCCCTGTGCTCCTCCACCGCAGCCTCTTTCTCCTTCCTCCTCTCCCTCCTCCCCCTCCTTCTCCTCCTGTTCCTCCTCCTCAATTTCAGCTGAAGCGGACGTACAACAACCCCTCCAGACTCCTGACAGCACGTTGCGATGCGACGTACTGATGCAATCCAACATCTGAGGCATCTACTGAAGCATCCAGGCAATTCGTTTTCACATGCACTGCCGCCGCCGTCCACCAACGTGGAGCGCACCAGCCTTCACACAGCGCAACCGCAGCGCAGCCGCCTCTTCCTGCACTATCACATCATGTCCAGCGGAAAGGAAAACCCAAACCGCGGAGCGTCCAAGATGGCCCAACACAGCTCCAAACAAGCCCCATACAACCCAAACCAGCCTCCAGGATTGTGCAACATAACGCCCCAGGACCCCTGCAAGTCCTCTCCAAAGCTCCCAAAGAAAGACCCAAGAAGCCAACGCCGGTAAATCTCCTCGCCTGCTCGCTTCAGGCGGCCTCCTGAAGCCTCAAGATAGCTCCAAGGGCGCCAAAGCCGCCCGAGGACAGCCCCCAAGGACGGTTTTGAGAACGTCGACGAAACGAAGGCAACTTATCACCTCCCTTATTTTTGGTCGATGGCGTGACGCCGCGACGCCGCCCGTTTTCTTCCAGCCGCACTTCCGCCTGTTCACAGACCTGTGAACCGCAGCGCATGCACGGTGGCGGGATGGGCTGGAGGCCATTAGATACCATACTGCTTACGTACCAGGACGATGGACATGTTCCACTCGGCGCGCAACAGAAAAATAACAAACGAACTTGTCGACACGATGGATGTGTTCCACCCGACGCGTAACATTTCTGGGCTCAATATTCTACATCCTCGTCCTGCCCCCACGGCATCAGGAAACCCTCGCTTCACTGAACCTTCATACGTACGTGCACTGCCAGCACCTCCGTCCATCCAGGAGCACCGAACAATCGAATGCGCCAACGCTCAACCAAAACGTACGCCCTGCCGGATAGAAGCGTCGGTCTTCCCTACGAGTGCGCGGCAGACGCGCGGGCCGCGTACCATGCCGCCTTTTGGGACTCGTCAGGCCGCAGCTCCACGGTGCGCTCTTGCTGTCGCTTCGCGACTGTGCGGCTGGCGCAAGGCAGGCAAGGTTGTAGGAGAACCAGGGAAGGTCAAGAGAATCGCAGAACGCTCCTCCTCCTCCTCCTCCTCATCTTGAGGGGGAGCGATAAGGGGGGACTGGCTCAGGGGAGAGAAACGTTGCCCTGGACTCGGCGACGCACCGCCGATACATCAGCGATGTGCCATCGACGGCGAAATCGTACCCTCCTTGGGCAGGGTGGGACACCCGGGCTCCGACGGGGGAGGCGTGGGCGACGGGAGTCGATGCCTCCTCCACGGAGCCAGTCCCTCCCCCTGTGGTGGCCCGTGAGCCCCCGCCTGCTGCAAACGCTCCTGCTTTAAGAGTTCTGCACCCCCGTGCACGGAGGGGCCGCGGACCCCACCAGCTCTCCGCAGTCCCTCCAAGGAGACGGCAATACAAGGAGGCATCCCAAGTGATGCCAAATCAGGAATCTCTGAGACGCGTCGGCCTGGAGGACGTGTCGGGCGCTGCGGCTGAAAGGAAACGACAGGGTGGGACCGGCTCAGGGGGGAACCAACGAGCTAGAATCGACGATGCATCGCCGATCAATCGGCGGTGATAGGCCCCTGATAGCGAGACCGCACGTTCCTGGGCGAAGTGGGCCATCGAGCGCCCATCGGCGATGAGTAAGCAATTGGGGGTCGGTGCACCCCCTCTGAATCTGCCCCCCCCCCACTGGCGTTGTCCCTGAGCGGCCATTCCAGAGCGCTCCGGAACGTTCTGAGAGCGCGGAGAAGGAGGAGGAGGAGGAGCAGGAGGAGGAGGAGGAGCAGTCGGAGGCGGCCTACCGTCCTCCGAGGCGGGCCTCACTCCCTCTCCCGCGCGGCGGCGCGCAGGAGGGCGTCGAGGTCTGGGGCACCTGGGCCCCGGCCTTCGTCTTGCGCGCTGCTCCGCCCCCGCTCACTGCACGTCGAGAGAGCCCTTCCTCCCCGCTTGCCATCCTGTGACCTCGCCCCCCCCCCGCTCTCGCTGCGCCCTCCCGGCGCAGGACCTGCCCCTTCAGGACCGTTTGAAGTTAGGCCGTCAGTGTGAGGCTCCGTCTCGCAGAGGTTTGGAGATTTTGTCTGAGTTCAGGAAGGGTCACTGCCCGAACCCCAGAGTGCAGGCTGCTCTCGATCGTGCGGTTCCTCTTGCTAGGCTTGGACTATCCGCCGCCCCTCCTGTCCCAGACGCTCCGACGGATGTGAGGACCTCACACTCAAGTTCCCAGACGGCCCTCTCCTACGAGCAGCGTATGTCAGCCTTATGTGAAAGGATCCGTCAGAAGGAACAGGCCAAAGTGGCCAATTCCATAAGATAAATGTTTAGTGCTGTGCCTTCGGGTCTTCCGTCTCCGTCTCCCCTTCAAGACCGTTTCCACGGAACCCCCCTCCCACAAAACCCGGACCCCTGACGTTGCGATTGTTCCATTCTGTGGACCCCTCAAAAGTCTGGGCCATTTCTGTGGGGACGGTTTCTCATCGCGATTCTTTTTTGGTCAGTCCTAGCCGCCCGGTGAAAGCCCCGACGGGCCGAAAACGAACGAAAACTTCTAGTCGCGGTTGTGTCCATGACCCGAGAGGGCCCAAGAACATACACAAAGGCCGCTTCCTCGGAAGCTGCTGCCACCGAGGACCCATCTCTTGGAATCTATTTACTGTTCTGGGCAAGCGGCCCGTCGAAGGTCGACGTCTGGGCCCGTCCAAGGGTGTGCATTGACCAAAACTTCCAAGCGGCCCGAGCCCTCCCTGGTGGCGAGACGCCCCCAGAAGCCCCCAAATGGCCCGCCGTGCCGCAAGCCCCTCTGAGATCCAACGTTGCGAGAAAAGGCAACATCGCGACGCATCCTCGAATGGCCCTACGTGCTGTGCGATGGCGGTAACAAAGGGGAGGGGGGGGCGTTCATGTTTGCTTCACGGGTGCAGAGACGGGCGCCCTGTTGCGCAAGGGCCCAAGCTATTCCCAATGATTTGATACCCCAGGGTAACGGGTGGGTTGTTCAAAATCGACCGAGCGCCTCAATTGGGAATACCCCAGGAATCGGGAATAGTGAGGAGGTCAGCATTCGTGTTGTCACGCGGGTGCGTGTCCCCGAATAACCCTATAAGCGGTGCGATGGTGGTAAAGGAGGAGGGGGTGACGTTGATCCCTATTTTACGGGCGGCGGAGACGGGGCCCTGTTGCGCAGGGGCCCAGGCCACTCCCAGGAACGGCCCGCGTCGAGGCCCGCCAGCCGCGCCTCGCCCCCCGCGCCACGCCGCGCATAGCCGCCCCCCCGCCGCGCCGCTCCGCGCAAATGCGGCCGAGGGCCTCTCCCCAGCCCGCGGGGGCCCTGGCAGACCCGACCCCGCTCCCACCACGGGGGCCCTCGCCCGCAGAGGTGGTCGCGGGGTCTCCAAGGAGGGAGTGCGGGGCTGGGAGGAGGCACCCCTCCGGCGCGGGGGGGTTCGAGCCGCCCCTAAGTACTTCGCGCTGGGCCCCCGCCCTGACAGGTCGCGCGGGGCCCCGCGCGCCGCTGCCGCCACCTCCAGCTCCGCCCGCGCGGCGTCGTCAACGACGTGCTGGGCGATGCTGTCACCGCGGCGTCGGGCGCGCGCGCCCGCGGCCCTTCTGGCCGCGCCCTCGGAGGCCGCCCCCCTCTCGGCGCCCGACTCGCAGTGCTCCTGGAAGGCCCCCGCAATTTCGTCGAGGACGCGCCCCTTCACGTCCGCGGCCGCTGCGTGGACCCTCGGGGGCTCGTCGAAGTCCGACGCCCTCGCGTGGCTGAGATCGCCCGCCCCCCGGTTCTCTTCGCGCGGTAGCCAATCTGGGCTCAGCGCCATCTCGCGCGCCAGCTCCCCTGAATGCTCGACGAGTCGGACCGTCGAAGGCTGCCTGGTCGACGCGGCTCCGCTCGCCGCGCAGGCGTTCGCCCGTCGACCCCGCCGCCTCGAGGTTCGCCATCCGGCGGCGCCACCTGGGCTCCGAGAAAAGCTTTGCGCAAGGGATCGCGCCGAGGAGCGCGAGCGCCGCGATGGCCCCGTTCGGGCCGTTTGCCTTGGGCCCACGCCTGGGGGGGCCATTCCTGCTCTGCCTCGAGCGCGCGCCAGCGGGCCCCCCGCGCGCTGCTTCTTCGGCGGCGCTTCCCAGCCGCCCGCCCGATGGCGCCCCCCTCGCCGTCGCACCCGAACGGAAATGCCGGGCGCAACTCCCATCTGCGCCCGTTCGCCAATCGTTGGTCGATCATCCACGTCGGCACGAGCCTGGTCGCCCACGGAATGGAGGCCCTCTCGTTGTCCTGCCGTGCGACGCTGGCGAGCCAGGCGCGCGCGGGCCCTGGCGGCGGCCCCTCCGGCGCCAGGGCCACCGCCGCGAAGCCCAGGCGCCCCAATCGCCAGCTCGTCAACGCGGACGGCGCCAACCCAAGCCGCCCCCCCTTAGAGAGGCCCACGGCGCGCGTGGCGCAGTCGCAATGGAGACCGATTCGATCAACCTCGAGGCCGCTCCGCGCCTGGATCCTCGGCGCCAGGGAGTCGAAGACGCAGAGGAGGACGGCCAGCCCCTCTAATGCGTAGTCAAAGTGCGTTTGGCACTGCCGCAAGATCCCCCCCCTTTCCCCGCTATTTCTCTGGCCCCCAGAACGACGTTTCTTCGCGGGCGCGCATGCGCGCGCTTATATGCGCCACGCGTCACCCGCGCGCACCCGGGCGATATTTCTCCGGTCCGCGGGAGATATTCCGAAGAGCGATGCATGTTTGCACGCAAGTGTATTGGCGAACATATGTATGTCCATACATATATATATATATATACATACATACACAGATATTGATAAAATTGCACAAGCAAGTATCAACATATATATCTTCTTGTGCAAACGTATTTGAAAACATGCAAAGTAAACAACTAAATTCAGTATTGTATAGAATCATAAGTTCTATGCCGGAGCATGCTGGAGGCCCAGCTCCGGCCAAAAGACAACATTCTTAAACAATGATGTCTTTTGGCCGGAGCGGCCCCCGACCTGCGGGGGCCTGGCCACCTAGCGTCGCGCGCGCGATGTGATAGCTGCCGGCCACCTCAGCGCCCCTGCTTCCGACGGTGGCTTTTCCTCGCCGCCGCCGGTCTGGATGTTCACCCAACTTCCCTCGTCTGCGCCGTCGCGCTCGCGATCTGCAGTCGGCGCTCTTCGCGGAGGCCTCGCCGCGCCCGCCGTTGGTGCGACGTCGCCCGGCCCCCCGCCTTCGACGGCGGTCTCCGGGGTTCGCTGCCCCGCCCAGCTCGCCCTCGTCGTCCAGGGGCGCCATCGCCAACCTGCCCGCGCAAGTCTCGAGGGTCGCGCAAGTCTCGGCCGCCGCGTTCGCCGCTTTCTGCGCCGAAACTCACCGGCTCTGGGATGGCCGCCGGCGCGCCCAGCGCCACGCGGGCCATCCCTGAAACAGCGCATCCGCGAACTGACCGCGCGGCATGTCCACGCGCGGGCGTCCGCCCCCGCCGGCGACCGCGCGCCTGGGCGGTCGCGGTCGCTCTTCGCGACCCCCAATGCCGCCGTGGCCGGCGGTCGTCGCCCGCTCTGAACGGACGGCCCAGAAACCCGCGACCTCCCTGGAATGGAGGAGCTCGATCACCCCGTGCACGCCGCTGGCTTCAGCATCCTCTGGAGCACCACCTGGCCCGCTGCCAATGCCTCGGCTTGCCCGGCAGGCCTGCGGACAAACGCCGGCCCCGCGTCGTCGCACCTCGGCAGGAGGCAGCCCCCCTCGACATCTGCGATCCCCTGCCGCAGGTCGAAGCCCACCTGGATCCACGCTGGGATGTGGCAGTCTCGGGATACCGCTAGCGGAATGTCCAACACGTTGCGCCCTTCCCCGCTGGTCTTCGCACGTCTCAACGTGGCCGTCAGCCCTCCGCTCGCGCGAGCGAGTCGCTGCGGCGGGAGCCACCTGCGGTCGTCGCAACGTAGAGCCGCCCACGCTGTGACGAGGCGATGCCGCGCCACCCCGCGCAGGCACGACGCGATGACGTTGTCCATGACCAGCCGTTCCAAGGCTCCGTTGAACACGCTGGATTATCGTGCTGCCATCGTCGTCGGTCCTTTGCCAGCGCCGGAGAGCATCTCCAAATTCGCGGCGACCTGCTGCGCTTCCGGCCGGGCGGACAGCTCGTCGCTTGCATCGATATCCCAGACCCGTTCCGCCCAGACCAAGGCGCACAAGGTCTGGTTGGTTACCGTCGGCCTGCTCGGCTCGGGCGCCCTGGCGCGCGTGTAATCCACGCAGTCGTCGCGGGCAACGAGGCCCCGTGCGCGCGCGGAAGACAACTGCGCATTGTCTCCATGACACGCGCGTGCGACCTCACCGCGTCGACGCGCGCGCGTCTTGTGATTCGGTCCTTCGCCCGCCCCGGGTCCATGCGCGCCTGCGCCGTCCTGATGGGGGGCGTTCTCATCTCTTCGGGGAACGCGATCAGGCGAAACTTCCACCGAGACCATTGCTTGGGCGCCCGAATTATCCGGGGTAACTCGGGTCCGGGGTAACTCGGGCTTGGATTCCCGAAAAAGGAACCCGAGTTAGCCCTGACCCGAGTTACCCCTGATGATTCGGGGCTCTGGACGCCCGAATTATCCGGGGTAACTCGGGTCCGGGGTAACTCGGGTTTGGATTCCCGAAAAACGAACCCGAGTTATCCCTGACCCGAGTTACCCCTGATGATTCGGGGCTCTGGACGCCCGAATTATCCGGGGTAACTCGGGTCCGGGGTAACTCGGGTTTGGATTCCCGAAAAACGAACCCGAGTTATCCCTGACCCGAGTTACCCCTGATGATTCGGGGCTCTGAATTGCTGCACCTCCAGACCGCGCCGGCTCTCCTCCGCGGCCGCGCCGCGGCACCTCCGCGCAAAGCGGGCCCCCGCCATCGCGCGGGCCCCCAGCGGCGGTGGGGCCTCGGCCGCGCCGCGGCCGCCCGTCGATCGCACGCGCGCCGTGGCGTCCTCCAGCATGGCCCGCTCAGGGCAACCGTGACACGCCCTGATGCGTTTCTGAACAGGCTCTTCAGCAACGGCCAGATCCTAGAGGAAAAATAACTATGCACATACACCGATTCTGGCCAGACCCATCCTGAGCCCAGGATCGGTGCATATGCTCTCCTACCTTGGCCAGGAAGGCATATGCACCGATCCTGGGTCAAGGATGGGCGTTGTCAGGATCGGTGCATGTGCATATTTCTCTTCACCCGAGATCCACGAGTTCCCTCAGCGGCTGCCACGCCTCCTCCACGCTGAAGTCCACGGCCTCCGCAACCTGCGCGAAGGTCCCCTCGAACGTGGCCCTCCCCGCCTGCAGCGCGAGGCGCGGGCCGAGGAGGTCGCACTCGCGCAGCACTTTGGTGACCCGTTGCCGCGCGGCGTTGAGGGCGTGCGACCCAAGGGCCAGCATTTGCGCACAACCGCTGTTCAAAATAGGCCGAACGCCGGAGCCCAAATGGCCGCAGGCATCGGGCAGAAGGATACCTACACATTCGTGCTGTCACACGGGGGCAAGCCACGACTGGCGCCCTAGACCCCGTCGTTCTGAGGAGTGTGCCACGTGGGGTCGATCTGTGGCAGCCTTGGGGCCTGGCACAAGGTGAAACCGCCCGGTCTGAGCAGGGCGGCGACGCTCGGATGCCAAAGAAATGGGACGCACAGAGACATACTAGTACTAGATGTCCTCCTTGGAGGCGCGCGTCCGACCCGAACATATAGTATACCCATCTTGTAGTATATCGTTTCCCGAGCGGTGTGGCCAGAAAGCGCCCGCCACGACGCATATACTACAAGATTTCTCGGTGCGCGCGTCGCCCCTGGGGGGGCGACGCACATATAGTATAAGTATGTTGGGGTGTTGCCGAAGAAATGCTGGCTCCTCGGACGTACCTTCCTCTCTCCCGATGCCTGCGTCCTCTTCCTTGCTCGCCGCGCCGACCCGCCGCGCCGCCAGCCATGCGCTGTGCCCTCCTTCCCACGCCTCCAGCTCGCCTTCTGGGGGCCGGTCTGGCCAATGTTGTGCTAGAGATCGAGGTCCTGCCCAGAGCAGCGGGGGGACAGGCAAGGAGGGGAACCCGACGCGACTCGACGTCCGACAATGTGTTCTTCAATCCCTGTGTTGTTCCTCGACTTCGGCCTCTGAGGCCCGATGTTGGGACATGGGGCCAACAAAAACTGGCCCATGACGAAAAACTAGCCCGGGGAAGGTCCCGACCGCTTCTCTGGGGGGCAATTTTTCGCCCACGGTCAACTTTTGATGGCCCCTGGGCCGCCCACGTCGGGGGGACGTAGAGGTGGGGTTCGGGCAGAGTATTGTTCGAGTGATCTTGAGAGGTGTCGTCGATTTTCGCACGTTTTTCGGGCTGTAGGAGCGCTACGGAGCTCGTGCGCACAGAAGACGATCCAGAAGCATGAGGGGCGTTTAGCTGTTGCATCGAGAGGTCTGAAATCGTTTAGGCTGAAAAACTATTCGTTCTCTGCAATTTTTTTCGACAGGTGGGATTGGGGGGAAATCGCCCCGGGCGGCCTGTGGAGAAGGAAACCGCCAGCCTCAAGGTGGGTCCGCCCCCTGGGGCCCCCCCCCCACGTCTGGCGAACCCTCCTTCTACGCGTCCCCCTGATCACTGGCCATCGCTCGGACGTCCATTCCCTGTGCTTTTTTTCAATATCATGCGTGGCTTTTTCCCCGAATGATCAAGGATGCTCCTCGATGGTCCTCGCCGAAGGAAAAATGCACACGTCCGAGCGATGCCAAGATCAAGGAAGAAAGAACATCGTCGGATATCCCTGATCCCTCTCTTTCGTACGCCCCACGGCGCGCGCGGCAGCGTGTCAGGACGGGGCGAATACACACTTGAGGACTCGGCCCGACTGCAGCTGCTCCCGCGGTGTACTCGGTCGCAGCCAAGAAGACGAGGGCGAGGGGGGGACAAGCTAGGGCGAGGGGGGGACGAGGGCGAGGGGGGGACGAGCGAGGGGGGGCCTTGGGCCCGGGGCTGGAGCAGCAGGGAGGGCGGGGCAGGGAGGACGGGGAGGGGGGAGGGACAAGCTAGGTGCGCTCGCGTCATATCTGTCGCCATACCCCTTCATCCCAACCCTTACCATGGCGCAGATCTCCTCTTCATGCGTACAGGCTGGTGTCGAGCAAGGCAATGATCCCGAGAGGGTTTGCGATGCATGGCAAAGCACGGCATAGCATGGTGTAGAAGAGCGCAGCAGAGCAGAGCATGTCATAGCATGGTTTGGCATTGCGTAGTGTAGCATTGCATCGCAAAACGTCACATCGCAAAACATGGCATCGCATAGCGGAGCACAACGCAACATCGCATTGTATGCCATGGCATGGTACCGGATGCCTTGGAGGGTAAATGGCCCGTGTACGAAAAAAAAAACCTGTCCAGAATCCCGGCTCCATGTCCTGCGGAACCGTGCATTCCCGATGTGGGCGCTTTCGAATGCCAAGTTCCGTCTGGCAGGGGTACTGTAATGGCGTCAGTCCCCCCCCCTTGCTTTCGACACGCTGCCTTGCATTCCCCGAACCTCCGCCCAAATCTTCCTGGGATCCTCGGGTATCTCTACACGAGGCGTGGCGGATGGCCCGAAGACTTCCGGAAACTCCAGGGAACGCACAAATATTGCCGACGGCGACAACGACGCAAACGACGACGGCGGCGGCGGGGGAAGCTGCGGCGGGCGAGGACGGATGTCAGGGAATAGTATGGCGGCTGCCAGGCTCGATGGTCTGGTTTCCTTCAACAATCGGCTCGCACTGGATGGGCCCCTGGACCCCTCACGGGGTCAAATCGGATCGGCGTTTTCCAGCCGGATCGTTGTTGAAGGTTCCTGGGGCCCAACGAAACGGGAGGGGGGGGTTTCTGCGGCCCATAAAATCAACGAATCGACACCGACTGTGTGTTCACTTCCTATGGTTTTTCGGAAGCAATTTCTTAGATAGGCAGGGCCGAAAACCATTCCGTGACATGGCGCTGGACACAATAACGCCCGCGCTGCAGCGGGAGCACGGTTCGTAGCGAGAGGAAGCGCGGAAATGAGGCCAACGCTGCAGCGGGAGCACGATTCGGAGGACGCGTAGCGTGACATAGCATGGCGTGGCGAAGCCCCGAAGTGAAGTGGGCTCTTATGCGGCCCAGAAAACTTCCTATGGTTCTTCAGGGTAGCAATTTTCTAGATGTGGGGCCCATTTGGAAGGACCGAAAACCATGCCGTGGCATGGCGCTGGAAATAATGACGCCAACGCTGCAGCGGGAGCACGATTCGGAACGAGCGGAAGCTCGGAAATGAGGCCACCGCTGCAACGGGAGCACGATTCGGAACGAGCGGTAGCCCGAAAATGAAGCCAGCGCTTCAGCGAGAGCAGCATTTTGAAATTAGCCTGGCGACGGACCCAACCATGTGCAGTTGTGAGTACCGCAGTTGTGAATATCGTCCTCGGTGGAGCTCCTTATGGGGCCACGAACTGTGTGAGCGGCCTGCCACAGTGGTGGTGGTGGGGAACCGCATGCGGGCACCTCCTCTGGGGCCTTCGGTGGAGCTCCCTATGGGGCCACGAAGTGGTGCCCTGGGTGGGGGAACCGCATGCGGGCACCCCCACTGGTGCCTACGGTGGAACTCCCTGTGGGGCCACGAAACGCTGCCCTGGGTGGGGGAACCGCATGCGGGCACCCCCACTGGGTGGGGCCACGAAACGCTGCCCTGGGCAGGGGGACTGCATGCGGGCACCCCCACTGGGGCCTTTGGTGGAGCTCCCTATGGGGCCACGAAACGCTGCCCTGGGTGGGGGAACCGCATGCGGGCACCCCCACTGGGACACTTCGGTGGAGCTCCCTATGGGGCTACGAACACTGCCTTGGGTGGGGGAACCGCATGCGGGCACCCCCACTGGTGCCTACGGTGGAGCTCCCTGTGGGGCCACGAAACGCTGCCCTGGGTGGGGGAACCGCATGCGGGCACCCCCACTGGAGACTTCGGTGGAGCGCCCTGTGGGGCTACGAAGCGCTGCCCTGGGTGGGGGAGACGCATGCGGGCACCCCCACCGACTGTTATAGGATCCTTACGTGATGCTATGGCAAACCTACGGAATCTCATAGGAGGCGCGCAGGATTGCAATAATATCCCAAAAGGATGCGATTGCACTCCGACGGAATCCTATAACAGGGCATAGGACTGCCATAGGATCTCGACGGAACTCGATGGCAGTCCTACAGAATCCTGGGGAGGAGCATGGGGGTGCGATCGGATCCCTTCGGGATGCTATGGCAGTCCTTGGGAATATCATGGTAATGTTGTAAGGTCTACAGGACCCATGCAGGATGCTCCAAGAATCGTGCGGCATCCGATTTGCAAAGCATGGGCATGCTATTCGATCGCTACGGGATGCCATAGCACTCCTACGGAATCCTGTAGTGGGTATCGGAACCATGTGAAACCATATGGCTCATATGATTCCGGCCATACATCAAATGTGACCTAATCGTGGTTTGTGTTCGAATGTCATATACGTGTGTTGACGGCAAAACACAGGCACCAGCCATGAATGGGCGGGTAGTCATCGGCCATAACGAATGCGTGACCCTACTCCTACTACAACTTCAACTACAACTACAGCCATAGACAACAACAGCTGTTACTACGACTGCAACTACGACAACTGCTGCTGCTGCTGCTACTACTACTACTACTACTACTACTACACTACTACTACTACTATTACTACTTCTACTACTACTATTACTACTACTACTGCTACGACGACTACCACGACTACTACCGTTACTGTGCATACTACGACAACAACAACTACTACTACTACTATTACTACTACTACTACTACTACTACTACTACTACTACTACTACTACTACTACTACTACTACTACCACTACCACTACGACAAATACTGCTACCACTATTACCACAACTACCACTACGACCACTTACTACCACTACTAGGACTAGAACTACGACTACCACTACCACTACTACTACTACTACTACTACTACTACTACTACTACTACTACTACTACTACTATCACTGCTTCGACAACAACATCTACTACTATTACTACTATTACTACAACTACAGCTACAGCTCCTACTGCTACTACTAATACCACTACTGCTACAATTTCAAAAACCACCACCACCACAACTACTACTACTACTACTACTACTACTACTACTGCTACTACTACTACTTCTGCTAAAGCTACTACTACTTCTACTAGTTTTCCTACTACGACGACAACGACAACGACGACGACGACGGCAACGACGACGACGACTACTACTACTACTACTGCTACTACTACTCCTACTACTACCACTACTACTACTGCTACTAACTACTACTACTACTACTACTACTACTACTACTACTACTACTACTACTACTACTACTACTATGCTGCTGCTGCTGCTACTACTACTACTACTACTACTACTACTACTACTACTACTACTACTACTACTACTACTACTACTACTACTACTACTACTACTACTACTACTACTACTACTACTACTACTACTACTACTACTACTAGAACTACTGCGGCTATGACTCAGACGGCGACGACTTCTACCACAACTACTACGACTACTACTACTACTACTACTACTACTACTACAATTACAACTACTACTACGACTACTACGACTACTACTATTACTACGACTACTACTTCCAGTAATACGACTACTGCTGCTATTACTACTACTGCTACGACTACAACTACTACTACTACTACTACTACTACTACTACTACTGCTACTACTACTACTACGACTACGACTGCGACTACTACTACTACTACTACTACTACTACTGCTACTACTACTACTACTACTACTACTACTACTACTACTACTACTACTACTACTACTACTACGACTACGACGAGTACAAACACTATTGCCACTACAACGAATACCACCACTGCTACTACTACTACTACTATTACTACTTCTACTTCTACTTCTACTACTACTACTACTACTACTACTACTACTACTACTACTACTACTACTACTACTACTACTACTACCATTACTACACCAACGACTACTGATACGACTACTAGAAGTACTACGACAACTACTAATACGACGACTGCTACTATCCCAACGGTTACTACAACTACTATTATTACTTCCACTACTAATGATATTATGTTTGCTGTTGCTACTGCTACTACTACTTCGACCACTACGACCACTACTGCGGCGACTACTACTAGTGCTACTACTGCGGCTACTAACTACTACTACTACTACTACTACTACTGCTACTACAACTGCTGCTGTTACTACTACTACTATTTCTACTACTTCCACTCCTACTACTACTACTACTACTACTACTACTGCTACTACTACTGTTACTACGACTACTACGACTACTACTACGACTACTACCACTACTACTACCACTACTTCTACGTCTAATACCACTACAATTGTTACGAACACGACTACTACTACGACTACTACTGCTACTACTGCTACTACTACTGCGACTACTGCTACTACTACTACTACTACTACTACTACTACTACTACTACTACTACTGCTACTGCGACTGCTACTACGGCTACCACTACACTGCTACGAATGTTACTACTCATCCTACGACTACTACTACTACTACTACTACTACTACTACTACTACTACTACTACTACTACTACTACTACTACTACTACTACTACTACTACTACTACTACTACTACTACTACTACTACTACTACTACTACGACTACTACTACACTACTACTACTACTACTACTACTACTACTACTACTACTACTACTACTACTACTACTACTACTACTACTACGACTACGACTACGACTACTACTACTACTACTACTACTACTACTACTACTACTACTACTACTACTACTACTACTACTACTACTACTACTACTACTACTACTACTACTACTACTACTACTACTACTACTACTACTACTACTACTACTACTACTACTACTACTACTACTACTACTACTACTACTACTACTACTACTACTACTACTACTACGACTAGTACTCCCTCCATCCTCCTCCCCTGCCCCCTTCCACATTTACTCGCAATGACAGCGAGTCTCCTCTCCCGTGACCACGTGTTGAAGATCTCCCGCTCCCCTCGCGGTCTGTATCGTTACACTGGTACGCGCAGGATTGGGCCGAGCGGCTTGTTCCTATGTGGCGCTGGTTGGTACAATGTGTTTTTTTCTTGCTTCAAACAATGCTCCTTCTGCAGCGCGGGCCCCATTTTCGGATGGGCACTGTGCCGCCGTCGTTCAGAACGACGCGCTCGCTCCAGCGCGGGCCACTTCTCTGCATCCGAATCCGTTTTCGTCGTTGTCGCCCCCTCTGTTCCACTCCTCGAGCGTCCCCTGGCCGCCCTGCTCCGCCCACTCCTGCCACTCCAATCCTTGCTGCTATTCGTCATCGCCCGCATCCTGCCTCAATCTACTTCTTGTCCTTCTGCTCCTCCCCCTGATCACCCGCCACCTGCTCCTCCTCCCCCTCCACCTCCTCATCCTCCTCCTCCTCCTCAACCTCCTCCTCCTCCTCTTCCTCCTCCCCCCCATCCTCCTCCTGCTCCTCCTGCTCCTCCTACTCCTTCTGCTCCTCCTGCTCCTCTTGCTCCTCCTGTTCCTCCTCCTCCTCTTCCTCCTGCCCCTGCTATGTTCGCAGCGTCCCTTCTTCCCGATTACGCAGAACACGATGGAATCAGTGGAACTGCAGGTCGGCTATGACATGTGTCCGCGGGGAGGGACAACGTCAGCGCAATTGGAAGGGATGGCAGGGACGGATGGGATGGCAGTTATGGCGCGAGCGCGCCTAACTTGTCCCTCTCCCCCATCCCCCTCTCCTCCCGCGCGATTATACAGGAAGGAGGTGGGCGAGGCCCCATCGATCCTGAACAAACACGGGGGAGGCATCGACGCGATTCCTTCTTGTCCCCACACGTGGGCTGCGATCCACCCGGGCGAGTGCCAGCGCCAGGGCCCACCTCCCCCAAACCTTCGCCAGGCCTGAGAGCCTGTCCAGACTCGACGAGGTCCCTGGGACGCCAGGGCCCTGCCAACAGAACCATAACTTCCCTTACATGGATCTTCCCTTCGGCAAAATGATTCGGCACGCGCGCCCCAGACTCGGGGACGCTGTGCGCACTGAGAACGGATGCTAGCACCGAGAGTGACGCCGCCCGCACCACACGCACACACAGAGCACACATTACAGTCGGGGCGTTGACCTAAGGAACCCTAAATAAGGAACGAGGCCCCATTTTCCACAAGTTAAACTTCGATTCCCCATCGAAAACATAAGGAAAACCTGAGGCAAGCTGTGAAACGATCAAGGAACACCGAGCCCCTCCCCAACGAAAGGGTTCCTTCTTCAGCGCCCCGACTGTACCCCCTTTGCGCCAGTGGCCAAAGAGATCGGGAAGGCTCGATGGGCGGAGTGTCAAGGCTGCGAAGGCGACGTCATCACAACTGATAGCAGGCGCCACCACAGGTGGCAACGGAAGAACAGTGCACGCAGCCCTCTTGCCAGGCGGCTCGTGCATACAATCAATGTCGGCAATGTTCGGCCCGATGCGCCCGACCCATGAGGCCAGAAAGGAGATCACCTGATGCTGAGCATGCAACTGCTCACGATACGCCAGGGGAGCACGAGTGTAGCTGGCAGCCTTTTTGGCCGTCTTGGCATCAAGCGAGTTGACCTAGCGAGCTCGGTGACTAATGGCCCCCCGCTCAAGGTCGGCAACAATGCCGTGAGCTTTGACCTTACGCAGAGGCGGACAGTCGAGCCCCCCCCCACGACCCTCGACGGCGGCCCGCACTAAACACCAGAGGTCTGCCCACGCCGCTCTGCTGGAACAGCACAAGGCGCGTTCTTTCGAGAGGGCGCCATCACTCGCCATCGCTCGGACGTCCATTCCGTGTTTTTTTTTTTGGGGGGGTCGTGCGTGGTTTTTTCGCCAAATGGTCAAGGATGCTCCTCGATGGTCCTCGCCGAAGGAAAAATGCACACGTCCGAGCGATGCCAAGCATCATGCTCGAACCCCTGTCGGTCCAGAACATGGCATGCGGGAGCGCCAACCTGCGAGCCTGCAGGAACACCCAGAGCTCACACGCGTCGATGCCGTACGAGCCTGCAGGAAGCTTGGCAGTAAGGATGACGGCCGCAGTGGGCCTATCCTCCGGTAAGGCCACGATGGCCCACCCCAGACTTGGGGCCGAGGGGGGCAAGTTGGCATCCAGCAGGCTCCCGTTCAAAAAGATGTCCCCTTCCAGCATGCTCGGATCACCTTTCATCCAGACCTCGGCGGGGGCGTCGGGAGGAGCGCGAGGAGGAACAGGCAACGGCACCAGCAGCCTCTCGACGAGCGAGCGGACGAGAGGCTGCGATGAGGCCTGCAACATAGACCCCGCGGAGCTGCAGGGTTCCGTCCGATAAACCTCGAGGTGACCAAGACACGACCAGTGCCTTTGCACCAAGGCCCCGACCAAGGGCCAAACGACAGACCAAGCACTCAGCAACATCCGTGCAGCCTGCCGAGCCTGGGGCCACTGCCCTCCTGAGACAGCGGACGCAACGCGTGCCTTCTCGAGAGCCTCGAGCGTCCCGAAGCGGTGCAAGGAACTGCCAATACTGCTTAAAGCCATCACACTCTAAGTGAACGGCGACCTGCTGCCAGCATTATGTCGGGCGTGTCCCCGTACAGGGGGATTTTCGACGAAATATGAAACAATACCCCAAACATGCACCAAAAAGATAAAAAATACTCCAAAAATAGTCCCCAGACTATTTGTGGGTCATTTTGGGATTATGTTTGTGGTACTTTTTGATTTTTCGTCAAAAAATCCCCCTGTAGGTGACTACCTACCAGACCACCCCAACCCAACCCGAAGACCCGAATTTCGGGTTGGGGGGGGTACGGGTTCCATACGTGGTTTCTCGATGTTCCCCGACCCCCCCCCCACTGAAAATGGAGGTCAATTTGAGGCCTTCGGGTTGGGTTGGGGTGGTTTGGTGGGTGGTGAGTAGGGGGACAGGCCCGACTGACTGCCAGCACCACGCGCCAACCATGCCCTCGACGGCTCGCGCCACCGTCCCCGGGGCAGAAACACGCCGCAGGAGGCAGCTCGCCGACGCGCGGACGGCACCGCAGGAGGCCCCCTCCCGAGAACACCGCTCGGGGTCGGCGAAGAGGGGGGTGTCCAAGATAGAGGAAAAAGAACTATGCACATACACCGATTCTGGCCAGACCCATCCTGAGCCCAGGATCGGTGCATACGCCCTCCTACCTTGGCCAGGAAGGCATATGCATCGATCCTGGGTCAAGGATGGACGTTGTCAGGATCGGTGAATGTGCATATTTCTCTTCGCCCGACAAGAGATGGGGGGGCGCAAATCATGACCGGCGGCATGCGCGCGGCCCAGCGGGCCCCCCCTCTGTTCCGCTCGCGAGCCGGGCGGCGCTGCCCGAGGCGGGGCCCTCCGCCCAAGGGCCGCCTCGGGCCTCTCGAGGGTGCCCTTCGGCAGGAAGGGCTTCAGCTGGGCGCCGTGCTCCTGCCGGCGGCGCGGGGCGCGGGGCCGAGGGGGCGGAGGAGGAGGAGGAGGAGAACTAGGAGAAGGAGGAGGAGGAGGAGGAGAGGAGGAGGAGGAGGAGGAGGGAGATGGAGGAGGAGGAGGAGGAGGAGAGGAGAGGAGGAGGAGGAGGAGGAGGAGGAGGAGGAGGAGGAGGAGGGGGGGGGGGCGCCGCGAGAGCCGCCGTGGAGGCGGGAGCGGGCCCCCGGGGAGCGGAGGCGGGGCGAGCGGCCAGCTCCGGGGTGGACCCACGGCTCGCCACCGCTCGGACGTCCGTCCCCCGTGCTTCTTTTTCCGGCGTCGCGCGCGGCTTCTTTCCGCCCAAGGATCGAGGGTGCTCCTCGGTGGCCCTCGCCGAAGGAAAGAGGCACACGTCCGAGCGATGCCAGGACATCGGGAGCGGCCAAGAGGGGGGCGTCCAAGAGGGGGGGGTGCAAATCATGACCGGCGGCACGTGCGCGGCCCAGCGGGGGGGCCAGGGACGTAATGAAATGAGAAGAGGCGCCATGAAATCTGCGGAGACTTCATGGCCCGCGCCATGAAATCCACCCCCCCTAGTCTGACTACCTACCAGACCACCCCAACCCAACCCGAAGACCCGAATTTCGGGTTGGGGGGGGGGTACGGGTTCCATATGTGTTTTCTCGATGTTCCCCGACCCCCCCCAACTGGAAATGGAGGGCAAATCGAGACCTTCGGGTTGGGTTGGGGTGGTTTGGTGGGTGGTGATAGTCGTCGCCCCCCTCCTTTCCGCTCCCGAGGACGGGGGGATCCGGCTGCCCGAGGGGATCGCCCTGGCCGCGGGCGTGGGCCGGGAGTGCGTCCCCGGGAGGGAGCGGAAGCGGGCCTCGATGCCGGAAGGAGGAGGAGGAGGAGGAGGAGGAGGAGGAGGAGGAGGAGGAGGAGGAGGAGGAGGAGGAGGAGGAGGAGGAGGGGGAGGAGGAGGAGGAGGAGGAGGAGGAGGAGGAGGAGGAGGAGGAGGAGGAGGAGGAGGAGGAGGAGGAGGAGGAGGAGGAGGAGGAGGAGGAGGAGGAGGAGGAGGAGGAGAGGAGGAGGAGGAGGAGGGAGGAGGAGGAGGGAGGGAGGGAGGGAGGGAGGGAGGGAGGGAGGAGGGAGGGGGGAGGAGGAGGAGGAGGAGAGGAGGAGAGGAGGAGGAGGAGGAGGAGGGAGGAGGAGGAGGAGGAAGAGGAGGAGAGGAGGAGGAGGAGGAGGAGGAGGAGGGGAGGCGAGGAGGAGGAGGAGGAGGAGGAGGAGGGGGGGGGGGGAGGCGGGCCTCGATTACGCTCGCGCCTCTGTGGCCGCGCGCCGGGGGCCCGCTCTCTCTCCCCTCCCTCGTCGTCGGCACCGCGGCCGTCGCGGTCGCTGCTCTCTCCACCCCGCTCGTGCTCCTCCTCCCTCCTTCCTCCCTCTCCTCCCTCCTCCTCCCTCCTCCTCCTCCTCACTCTCCCCCTCTCCTCCCTCCTCTCCTCCCCCTCCTCCTCCTCCTCCTCCCTCCCCCTCTCCCTCCTCCTCTCCCTCCTCCTCCTCCTCCTCCTCCTCCTCCTCCTCCTCGTCCACCTTCCTTCTGCCTCATTCCTTCTCCTTTCCATCTTCCTTCCTCCTCTTTCCTCATTCCGACCTTCCTCCCTTCCTCCTCGGAGGAAAGGCAACTACTGTCCCCACCCCGAGCTGGGCGTCCGTTTCAGGACTGGTGGGTGGTGTCTGGGAGCTCCAACAAAGGTGACGACGCCGATCTCATCATCTGTTGGCTTCGCTCTTACCCTTGGACCGCGCGCCCCGCTGGCCGCTGTCAAGCATGCTGCCCTGCATGTCAAATGCCATTCGTATTCATGCACGCGCCTTGCGATGCTGCTTGTCCGGTGGCGGTCCACCGTCCATTCGGCATCAACATGCGGCGCGACTGCTGGCGCGTCCTGTGCGCGGCGCACGGTGCCAAGGAGCCGCCGTGTGCGCCGCAGAGACAAATATGCCTGCTAATCGAGATCGCGCGTGACCTGAGCCGACACCAACAGAACTATAAGCAACACGACTACATAAACATGCACGTTCGAAAGTTCGCGCGGGTGTCTTGCACCTGACCTTGATCCCCCTCCCTGGCGCGCGGAGCGCACCCAAGGGATGCGGCGCAGATTTAAGAAGCCCGCGCGGACCTTCCATGTTTGTGTTGTGTTCTTACAGGCGGCCCGGATTAGTAGGTCGACCCTGCCAGATCAAGGGTACCCTCGGGTCCTGTGTCTTGCGACCCATGCCTCCTGCATTTCTGTGGCAACGTGGCCCTTGGAAGGGTCTTGTGTCCTCTCGCGTGTCCTCTCGAAGCAAGTCCGGCTGTATCTCGGGCGCACCCTTCCATGAACTCACATGGATCACGGATTCGTGAGTCTGGCGCGTGGGCGCCACATTCACGGACCTGGGAAAAGTACCCCCACGAGCATGAGTCCAACGCCGCCCGATCCGGCGACGGATCGTGCCGAGACCGCACGGAGACGTGGCCCGCCGCTGATCTACCTGGGCTTACAGTCGGGACGTTGACCTAAGGAACCCTAAATAAGGAACGAGGCCCCTTTTTTCAATAAGTTAGCCTTCGATTTCCGGTCGAAAACCTAAGGAAAACGTGGGGCAAGCTGTGAAACACTTAAGGAACGCGGAGCCCCTCCCCAACGAAAAGGGTTCCTTCTTCAGGGCCCCGACTGTACCTGGGCTTAGTCCATGTTCGCGCGTCCTCGATCGCTCGAACAAGCAATGCCCAGGACGGGACTGCGGCGAGCAGCCCTGCGTCGCCACTCGCCACGCCTGCCGCGCGCGCCGAGGGCGAGCGCCTTCGCCGTTGCCGTCGCCGCCTTCGTCACCGTCGTCGCCGCCTTCGCCGCCTTCGCCGCCGTCGTCGTCGCCGCCGCAGCCGCCGTCGGCTTCATCGGCGCCGCCGAGCGCAGCTCCGCGGCCACCTCGCGCCGAGCGAGGCGGCGCGGCCCAGGCCGGACCGCGCCAGCGTGCCCGTGTGCCCCGGCCGGCTTTCTCGGCTGCGGCTCCCCGCGCAGCAGCCAGCCCTGGCCCCCAGCGCACTGCTCCCAGCAGCGCGCCTCGGATGTTCAAAGATGAAGCCCTGAGGGAGGGGGGCCCTCGGAATTGCATTGTCTGAGGTCCCTCGTTGACTTGAATTCTCGTGCTGTGAAGGCCCTGAGGGATGGGAAATCTCGTTTGAGGCCCCTCGTTCGAGGCTATGATCTCGAAAGAGGAGGCCCTACGGGATCCCAACTTGACTCTGCGTTCTCTGAAGTCCCTCGTCCCTAGGATCCCGCCTCCCAGGACCCCACTGCCTCGGGTGTTCAGATTGTGGGCCCAGTGGCGACGAGATGACTCCCGCTTCCTCCCCATCCCCTCCCCCGCCTCTTCATCCCCTCTCCTACCTCCTACCTCCTACCTCCTACCTCCTGGCCACATCCTCTATCTCCTCCCTCCAGAAATGGCTCCCCAATGCCAACACTGTTCGGTGTCCTGTTGTCGTTCGCCCCCCCAACTTCAGTTAACACTTTCCGTTTGGCGGTCGCGCGGCGCCAGGGACGGGGAAAGCCGGCAAGGGGGGGGATGGGGAGGGGGGAGGACGGATGCAGTGGGGAGTGACCTGCAAGGCGTAGGAGGAAGGAGGCGAAAGCGAGGAGGGAGGGAAGGTGGCGGGGCGAGGAATGGGATGAAGGAGGGAGGGGGTGAGGGACAAGGGGGAGGGGGATGAGAAGAGGGAGTGAAGGCAGGGCGGTGGTGGGGAGGGGAAGCGGGGCAACGACAAGGGCCGGAAGGACGGGAGGATAAGAGACAAATCCTCGCCCGACTCTTCGTCATTACTCTTTGTCCTCAACATCCTTCCCCTGCTCCTCCAAAAGCAATCCTTCTTGGCCGCCCCATTTCCTCGTCCACCAACTCTTGTTTTCTCGAGGCCGCCTGGCCAACGACTAATTCGCTTCCAATCCCCGCCGCCATTTCCCCTACTCTACATGCCGTCGGCTTCCATCATGTCCGCCACCGTGCCTCTGCGTGTCCTCAGGTCCTTTGCCCAATTCCCTGAGCTTTAGTCCCCACTCCTGAAGAACCTCTAAGGAGCCCGGACCCCAAATTCTCAACTCTTTTTTGGCTTGACGCTGGCCCCAGTAAAAGGCAGGATGAGGACCACTTGGAGGATAGAGGAGAGATGGGGCACCATTCAGAAGACTGATCGGGTCTTGTTCTACGTGCAATAGTGGGCCGCAAAATCCTTTTGCGGCCCATGCAAAGAGGACGCCGGCGCCTTGGGCCAGACGCAGGAGGGATACTCGCTATGCTCGCTGTAAACACTTACCCTCTGAACCCATACTTCAGAATCGAAGGGGGAGGAGACGAGCAGGACGAGCATCAAAGTCAGGCTGCATTATAAGGGTTAAAATGCAAATACTCATGTCACTATGAGTCGTGCCCAGCCGGCCAACGCCAGGCTGGGTCTGCAAAGTTGTGGCAGGAGCCGCCCTAGACAAGTGCCAGGGTCTGGCCTGTAAAATGACGCATTGCCGATGGTGTGCTAACAGGTCCTGACCTGACCAGGCGCCAGCGACAAGCCTGCTGGGCCCGGCCAAGCCCGCCAGGGTCCCAGAAAGGCCCGGAAAACCACACAAGTGGTGGTTGCAAACGGTTCTCCTGGCCCAGACGGCTCCAAGACGGCCTGAGATGGCCTCCAAGATGCATCCAAGACGGCCAAGATGGCCTCCAAGACGGGCCAAGATGCACTCAAGACGGCCTAAGATGACCTCAAGATGGCCCAAGAGGCCCCAAGAGACCGCCAATACGGCCCAAGAGACCTCCAACCAGGAAGACCCGAACAGGCAAAAATCGTTGATTCCCTTGTTTTTGAAGGATTTCGGCATTTGCGCCTGTTCGGCTTTCCGTCGGCCCGCCCAAGACGGGCCAAGACGCTCCGAAGGTCGGCCCAAGGTCGCCCAAGAGGCCTCCAAGATGGCCCCATGACGGCCCAAGAGGTCCCGAAGACGGCCCCAAGAGGGCCCCAAGACGGCCCAAGATACCTCCAAGATGCCCAAGATGGCCTCGAAGACAGCCAAGATGGCCCAAGATGGTCTCCAAGATGCCTTGAAGACAACCAAAATGGCCTCTAAGACGGCTAAGATGGCCCCAAGATGCCTCCAAAACGGCCCAAGATGCACCCAAGACGGTCTTAGATGGCCTCAAGATGGCTCAAGGCAGCCCAAGATACCCCAAGGAGGCCTCCAATATGGCCTAAGATGCCCTCCAGGAAGACCCGAAGAGGCTAAATTCAGTTATTTTCCTTTGGATTTTGAGCGACTTTGGCATTTGCGCCTGTTCGGATTTCCGACGGCCCAAGGCGGCCCAAGGCCCCAAGGTCGCCCCAAGATCACCCAAGAGGCCTGCAAAATGGCACCATGACGACCCAAGGGGCCCTCAAGACGGCCCCAAGAGGGTCACAAAATGCACCCAAGACGGCCCCAGATGGCCTCAAGATGGCAAAAGGCCCGTAAGAGGCCCCAAGACGCCTCCAAAAGCTCACAAGACCCCCAGTGGGCCCCGAACACGCCAATTCCTCACTCTCCTCCTCTTCCCCGTCCTCCTCCACGTGTTCCCCGAAGGCTTTCCAAACCGATTCGGGGAACACATGGTCCGATAGATTGGCAGGGCTCTGGCCTCAACGTTCGGCCACACAGGCGCTTCCGAAAGGGCAGGAAGCGGCGGTGACTCGCCGTAGGCGTCTTCGATCCGCCGCCCCCTGTTGGCTTGCCACACGGGTGCCCGGCGTGCTAAACCCTTTCGATTTTGGTTCGTTTAGAACTCCCCCTGGGGCTTCGGCCCGTCCCGCCAGCACAGAATAAGGACCCGTAAACTGTCCAGGTCGTCGGTCTTCTCGCGCCAGACGGCCCCAAGATGGCCTCCAAGACGACCAAGACGGTTTCCAAGATAGGCACGATGGCCCAAACAGAACCCAAGCTGGTTTGCACATGTTTCCAAGACGGCCCAAGATGCACCCAAGACGGCCCAAGATGGTCTCAAGATGGCCCAGGACGGCCCAAAAGGCCTCCAAGAGGGCCCCAAGAAGAGCCCAAGACGGCCCAAGATGGCCCCCCAAGACGCCGAAGATGGCCTCCAAGACGGCCAAGATGGCCTCCAAGATGCCTCCAAGACGGCCAACAAGGCCTCCAAGACAGCGAAGATGGCCCCAAGATGCACCCAAGACGGCCCCAGATGGCCTCAAAATGGCATTCGACTGCCGAAAAGGCCCGCAAGAGGCCTCCAAGACGGCCCAAGAGTCCTCCAAGACGTCCTCCAAGGCCCGAAAGGGTCAAAAATTGCTTCCAGACGACCAAGATGACCTTCAAGATGCCCACGTGTTCCCCGAAGGCTTTCCAAACCGATTCGGGGAACACATGGTCCGATATATTGGCAGGGCTCTGGCCTCAACGTTCGGCCACATAGGCGCTTCCGAAAGGGCAAGGGGCGGCGGTGACTCGCCGTAGACGTCTTCGATATTTCCGTCTCTCTCAATTCCATCGCTCTCGTTCGCTAATTTGCCCATGCCACCAGCATCCTCTGCATCCGAACGATGCGGCCCCGCGTGTATGCGTTCGACAAGTCTGGCACTGAAAAGGCGCCGATCCTTGATCAGCCGGCGTCGCTCTTCCTCGACGATGGCCTGTCGCACAGGAGGCAGTGCTTAGATGCACAGAGGGGGGGACGATTATGTCCAGCCAGCTCCTCTACACTTTCCCCCTTCCCCATCCCCCTCCTCCCTGCTTCTTTCTCATTCCTCGCCCCTCCTGCCAAATCCATCTTCGCTCATCTCTCTTCCTAAGTCTCCTCCGTTCCATTCGTCTCCTCCTTCTTCTCATCCACCCTCCCTGCCACCCACCTCTCCCCCGTCACCTTCCCCTCCCCGCAACCCCTTCCCTCGCCTTCTCCTCCCACTTGTTGTCCTCCGACAAATGACAACGGCGAGGTGTGCGAGGAGGCGGATGTGGAAGAGGGAATGGTGATACGGCCGACAAAATCCTCATGATTGTGATGCTTAGAAGACGGCAAATGATGATGTGGCGGAGTAAAAAATAGGGAGGACGAGGAGGATGAGGACGAAGAGGAACGAGAGAGGGAGACGAGGGAGGGAGGGATGGAAGAGGGCAGGGGGCAGATGGGAAGAAGGAAGGAGGGAGATAGGAGGGAATAGAGAGAGAGAGAGAAAAAAAAAGAGAGAGGTGAGCAGGTAGGATGAACAAGACAGGAAGGAAGGGGAGGAGGAGGAGGAGGAGGAGGAGGAGGAGGAGGAGGAGGAGTGAGGGGAAAGGAGGGAGGGAGGGAGGGAGGGAGGTATGAGGACGGAGGGAAGGAGGCATGTAGGAGGAGGAAGAATGGGAGGTAGGAAGAGTCAGACGATGTTCTCTCGTCTCCTCCGCATTTCATTTGGCTCCCTCCTTCAGGTCCCGACTTTGGACCCTCGGGTGCACGCATGCAAGCACGCAACCATGCCAGCGTGCCGTACTGTAAGACTGTGGGCGGGAGGGGATGCGATACTGTCCAGACAGAAACGCTCAGACGCTCAAGCAAGGACATCAGCCCGCGAGCGCGCTCTTCGGGGCGGAAGAGAGGGGAGGGGAGAGGATCGGGAGGGGAGGGGGAAAAGGAGAGCATTGGGGATCGGAGGGGGCCTCGAAAGCTGGGGGGAGGGGGCACCGCTGGGCTGCACATCCCCATCGCACTGGCAAACGACGAAGACGACGACGCTGACGACGAGATCAGGACATAGAAGAGGTGTTTGTGTTTGATGTGCGCTCGCTTGCCTCGCTCCGCTGCCGCTTAGGCCCTAGTCTGTTTCAGGAGCGCTCTGGGTGCGCCGAGGAAAAAGGGGCAGACTTCGTTTCTTTCGGGCAGGGCCTGGAAAGCCCCCACATAAGAGGGCCTGGAGGGCCCCAGCTCGAACTCTCGCATGATTACAGACTTGAGCCCGCGCCAACGAATACAACCATGTCGGACGGGCACAGCCACAGCGGAGGCAGAGATAGATGTCTCTCGGGAGAAAGCCAGACTGCAACTCAAGAGTACAAGGCTAGGAATAGTTGGGCACGAGCAAGGTTGCTCGTCTAGATGGGCAACGGGAAGGAAGCCACGTCCGGACCGATGCTCTGCACACCCCTAGAGGGTACAGCGGTCGACGCGACGGAGCACGTAGAACTGAAGGAACTGGCCGTAGACGGCGGCAAGGAGCGGCCCTTCGATGTCCTGGACTCCAACTACCCAAAGCGTGACTCTGCCGACCAACTCGGTGACGCTCTAACATCCGCGTTCGGCCTGAAGCTGTAGAAATCAGAGCTGACCAGCGCCTCCGCTGGCAGGGCGCAGACGATCTCCATGAAGGCCCAAAGAAAGAGAGAGAGAGAGAGAGAGAGCGCGTCGATCTGCGAGCGGTCGCCCAAGGGTTCCTCTTGCTCCGAGGCGCTCGCCCAGGAGGCGACCGACGTGCAGTTGCTCTAGCGGCGAGCGAGCGGCAATGGAACTTCGACAAGCTGGCCACGGCTTTGAAGACGGTCTACCCGAAGGGGCTGCCATAACATGGGGTCCACATGTTCGACGACGACAACGACGACGACATCTACGCGTGGACCAACGATGGTGAGAACGCCGGCCGGCCAGAGGATGCGGTCGCCCTCCTGGCAGAGATCCAGCAGGACCGCGAGGGCCCTATGAAGGAGGACGAGGCGACGTGGAACGAGACTCTATTCCAGGTGGCAGAGGAGCGGAACCGCCGTGGTTTGCCGCCAGCAGCACCACCATACCTGAAGCGGTTCTCATCGCGCGGTTCCGGCGCTGACACTGGTCCAGCAGGCAAATCAGGCACTTCAGCAAGGAAGGTCCGAAGCGAAAAGATTCCGGCCAGGGCGCAGTTCGATTCGCATCGACGTTCGGCGCTAATTTCGCTGAGACTTTCCTTGCCGAAAGCGTGGCCATTCTAGACCCGCGGCGTGAGATTGAAGATGTTCGAGCGACCATGGACAACTCAGGCCTCCACCACCAGCTGACGACCGATCACATCCAGCGGAGGCTGACGACCAGCTGGAGGACCCGCCTGAGGCCCTACGCGTGGAAGATGAGACACTCTTCGTGCACGCACCAGGGCCCGGCGATGGATCCAGGCTGCGCGGGGGCCCCGGTCGGCCCAGGAACGCCGCAGAAGCACGAGAAGGCGACCTGCGCCAGCGCGGATGTCGAGGAAGAGCGCAACGCCGCGGCCTTCAAAGGGTTCACCGGAAACGAGTGCCGCTTGATCGGCGCGCGCGAGCTCCCCCGGAAGATCAACCTGCAATCGGGAATTATCTAGATGCACGCGGTGCCGGGCGCGGCCGGGCCGTTCCTGAACCGGCCCTCCTCAGGAAGCTGAAGAGCATCATTGGTAGTGGCGGCGACGGGCTGGCGTTCCGGGAGTTAGGCGAAAAGGCAAAACTGACGGCGACTCAAGGCGGCCACTATCAAGTCCCGCTCGACGGCTCGACCTCCTGCTCCGTGGACTACCGGGCTTTTCAATGCGGTCGGGCCGCATAGCCCTGAGGCCGAGGGTTCGTCAGCCCTGCACCGACGTGTCCTCGGCGAAAGAAAGCCCAACGATCATGGACATTTTCTCGCCGCTTCGACTCGCGAACTGGGCCGGGGAATTCGGATGCGCGAAGGGCGGCGCGCGCGATTGGAAGATCAGCCGGGGCGCTCGACGGCATGGGGAAATCAAACGCCTGCTGCGAAACATCGAGACTGAGGACCCGTGCCGGGCGGCGCGCTCGCCGCCGCACGCGCGCGAAGCTTTCGCCGCCGCGGGCCCTGGTTCCAGACCGGCAACGGCGCGACGCGAACGTGTGCGCAAGAGGTCGAAGAGGCCATCTCGCGCATCAGCCCGCGCTTGAAGATTGCCGGGCGAGAAGCGCGACGTGGGAGGCACCTCGCATTTGAACAATCGCGTGGGAATGCAGCACGGGGCGCGATGGAGATCATCGAATTCCAGACGGAACCTGGCCGTGCGCGGCGGAGGCCGCGGCGTGCAGATTCGGCAAGCCGGACCCGAAATTGGGCATTCCCCTGCGCGGATTGCGGTTGCTGTCGGCAGTCTCTGGACGCCGGCACTGGTTAAGCATTGTTCTACCTCGCGCTGAGCATCGCAGCGCCCGCGGGTGCACCGGCGTCGCGGCCCGGCCACTGCCGTGGCCCCTGCTGCCGCTGCTCGCCGCGCCAGCGCACTCAGCTTGGGATTCTTCCGCGTCAGAGCGCCCTCTGCCTCCGTCTGTCCTTCGCGGCCGCCCGCCTGTCGCGCGCCCCCACTTGCGCGCCGGCCAATTCGCGCATCGGTCGCCCCGGGTCGCTGCTCACCGGCGCGTTTTCGCCTCGCCGCCGAAGGAAAAAAACTGCGGAGCTGCGGCTTCAGATGCGATGCGGCGCTGGCAACATCGACGGCTCGCTCGCCTTCCTGCCGCCCGCAGCTCAGGGGCCCCGGCGAGCCGCAGCGCTACGCGGAGGCAGGGGCAGCAGCTGGCACCCACAAGGCCCTCCCCTCACATTCGTTTTGAATTTATGTTGCCCCTTGTCGATGTAGAGGCCGCCGCGCAAGCTGGCGCGGCAATGCGCAGAATGCTGGGATCCAGGGCCCCCCGCCGGCTGTCGGCTGGATGCTCGAGCTCAGCTAGCTCGGGAAAAAAACGATGTGCAAATATGGCAACAAACGTGCATTCGGCTGCGGGCGGGGCGCCGACAGGCAGGCAGCTGCGAAACACAAGCTTGCGAACTGCAGGTGGCATCTCATCGACAGTTCATCCTCACTTAGACTGCTAGCATGCTAGTTTCTCCAATGTCGTAGCCGAGGCAGTTAGAAGCGCATCATTGCTGTTCTCAGTCTTGGGTGGCGCGACGTGGCGAAACATCACATGGCCGTTCAGAGCTAGACGCATCTGAATTCCATCCATCTCTTTTTGTCAACGCATCGGCAATCATAAACTTTGTCGAGCAACGGGCCAGCGACAATTTGTCGTAGCGGCAGCCGCCTCCTCGATCAATGCACCCTCCAGCAACTCCCGCAAACCGCTCGAATCCAAAGCTAAACGACGTTCAGCTGGCAATCGCACCGCTCCTTCACGGCGCGCAGCATCAAACGAAGAAACACAATATGTCACATCGCGCCCCGCTCGCGGGGGCTGCGGCGCCCGCGCGCGCTTGCCAGCCCCCTGAGACGTGATCGCGTTCAGCGACATTGTGCCCTCGAGCTTCTCGTGGAGCTCTGCGATCGCAAGTGCGCCCTCCGCCTCTTCAATTTCGGATATCCCTGTGCTCCGCAAAACTGACAGCGCCTGGGGCCTGAAATGTGTTAGCCCCAACTCGCTTCGCGCCCCAGTGCTCGCCAATGGGCCAGCTCGCCGTCGCCGCGGAGGCCGCCGCCGCGCCCAACCCCTGCAATCTTCGTCGCGGGAATATGATTCCGAATGGCAATGCCGCCATGAATGTTCTTGAGGAGCGTCTCGAGGAGGTCGCCCGCCCGACCGACCTCGACCTCGACCTCCACGTCGACGGCGAAGCCGCAGTGCTTCGAGACTTTATCGGCAAGAGTTCCGTGGCCCGAAGACGCCGAAAACTCCGACGCGCAATCCGCGGGCGGAAGCGCGTCTCATCCTC